TTTATGTCTTCAAGACATGCCTGTAATCTATGTAATGGGTTAGCTTCATCTGGATTTATAGACAGATATAGCTGGGTATCATCAGCATAACAGTGGAAATTAATCCCATGCTGTCTAATAATTCTACCAATTGGGAGCATGTATAAAGTAAAGAGAATTGGTCCTAGCACTGATCCCTGTGGTACTCCACAGGTAACCTTTGAGCGTGTTGAAGATCTATCATTAACATGAACAAACTGAATTCAATCAGATAGATAAGATTTAAACCCGTCTAGTGCTGTTCCTTTAATTCCAACAAAATATTCAAGTCTTTCTAAAAGAATATTATGGTCAACTGTATCAAATGCAGCACTAAGATCCAACAGGACGAGCACAGATACAAGTCCATTATCTGAGGCCATGAGAATATCATTAGTGACTTTCACCAGAGCTGTTTCAGTGCTATGATGAGCTCTAAAGCCAGACTGAAACTCTTCAAAAAGTTCATTATGGTGGAAGTGATCGCAAACTTGTTTGGCAACTACTTTCTCAAGAATTTTGGATAAGAAAGGAAGATTGGATATAGGTCTATAATTGACCAAGTCATCTGGGTCAAGAGACGGTTTCTTAAGCAGAGGTTTAATTACAGCAATCTTAAAAGCTTTAGGTACATATCCCTGTAACAGAGATAGATTAATCACATCTAAAATGGAGGAGGAGATCAAAGGGAATACCTCCTTAAATAACCTGGTTGGAACTGGATCTAACATACAAGTTGAAGGCTTAGATGAAGACAATAATTTTGCTAATTCAGAGAGTTCAACTGGATCAAAGCAGTCTAAACCCGGTTCAGATTCCATGACTACCTCAGGTACAATCGCGGATAGAGGAGTGCTTATGATCTTATTTTTAATAAGATCAATCTTATTTATAAAGAATCCCATAAAATCATTGCTGCTAAGAGCAGGTGGAATGGACGGTTCAACAGAGCTATGGCTCTGGGTGAGTTTGGCAACTGTATTAAAAAGAAATCTAGGATTATTCTTATTCTCCTCTATTAATGAGGAGAAGTATGCTGCTCTTGCTTTACAAAGGGTCCTCTTATACAGCAGTAAACCATTTTTCCAGACTAGGAAGGACTCTCGCAGGCCTGTGGAGCGATATTTTCTCTCCAGTTTCCTAGCATTTTGCTTCAAAGTACGCAGCTCTGCATTAAACCAAGGAGCAAGCTTTCTATTTTTAACGGTTTTCATTTTCAAAGGAGCTGCGTTGTCTAAGGCAATACGCAGAGAACTAGCAACCCCCTCAACAAAATCATCAACCTGTGAAGGGGAATAAGCTAAGCTTTTGCACTCTGCAGCACTGCTCAGTGACACAGAGCAGAGAGAAAGTGAAGCAGATTCTTTAAAATTTATAACTGCACTATCTGATAAAGATCTACTAAAATTGAACCTTCTTTTGGGGGAGGAGAACTCTGTTAAAGCAATCCTGAAGGTTATTAGAAAGTGGTCAGAGAGGACAGGGTTGTGAGGAAATACTGTTATTTCTTCACATTCTATGCCGTATGTCAGCACAAGATCCAAAGTATGAAGATGATCTATTGTTCTACATCCTTCTTGGCAGAGATGCTTTATCTTCTTAATTTATTCCAAAACTGCCCAATAAATTTTCTCTTTTAATGTGATATTCTATATTTCATAAAGTGGAAAAAATGTCTGTACAAGGTCAAGTAGATACAACCATAGCATCCACTCTTTTCACAAATCTACCATTCTTTGTTCCTTGTCTTTTTTTTTTTTTTTTGGATTATCTTTCTCTTCAATCAGTTCACATGCTAAGAATTTAGCGAATTGAATTTTGGCATTCAGACAACGTCTGGCTCTCTGAGTATTTTTGTCAAAGATAAAGTATGAGCTTATGAAAGCAAAGGTCAGTGCTGGGGGTTTAGACTGTTTAAACACAGCTGGACTGGCTTTTTGCTGTTAATCAAACAGATATATTGTGCTTCATATATCATTGGGGTAAACTTGGTTATTGGAAGAGCTTGGTTATAAATTACAGTTGTTATGTATAGACAAATCTTTTAATTATGCTTAATTTATGTTGCTTGCTTGTTTTTTTTCTACACTTAAAGGTACAGTTGCCAGTTGGAAGGTGGTTACGGCTGCCCTTAATGCCTCTTAACAGGTGCTAAGAAGAAGAGAAACAGAACAAACCTTTAGATTATTTAAAAGTCATGTAGATGGAAAAACTCAGTAAAGCCTGATTCCATGCCTTCAAAATAGGAAGGGATACTAAACCTTCTCCAAAAAATAACAAAGCATAAGCAATGCTTATAAAGACATACGAATTGATCCCATGTTCAGGCTGCTACATATGACCTCATGCAAAAATGATTTCCTTTAGTAGTGTAGAAGTCTGTTCATTTCAAATATTTGTAGATGTTCTACAAACTTTCAGGATTTTTTTTTCTTTCTGAGAAGCTCTTACTGTACTTATATCTTACTCAGGAAAATAAATGTCTCATATGCCTCAGGTTCCTCTTTGAATTTAGATCTTTAGGGTTTTAATCAACCATTAAGGTGAGTAATGTAGTGCTTTGGATCATTGTTCTGCTGCCTGACCCAAGTGCACTGGAGTTTAATATATAAAACTGTTCTAGTATTATACCATATATAACAGAATACATACCTCCTTAAAAGTTATTTTTCTTTTTATTGTCCACAGATTATTGTTTTGTAGGGGTTCATTGATCGTTTTATAGCTTATGTGAGATGTACATTACTATCTAACGTAGGATTTTTAATTTCACAAAAACTGAATTCAGAAATCACAGAGTAAGTTATAAAGCTAGATCTTGGCTACATCTGTGTTCCAAAGGCCAGAGGCCTGTAGCACAAAGCGAGATTAATGGGTTAGCGAGACACCTTTACGTTTAAAAGTCAAAGAGAAAGGAGTGCGTTTAGAGCAGTTTTATTGTGTGTCTTGGTAGATTATCCTTTTTTTTTCTCTATGTTGTTGGTCTAAAAATGCTAACAATGCTCCAGTAATAAAAATCAAGAGAATTTTACAGTACGCTGGGTGCCTCTAGTGCCTCTAGAGCAGTCACGTGACGAAACCCAGCGGTAGGGTGGGCATTTCTTTAGCACCAAAAAGGAGGACATTGTGCAGCACATATATATATATATATATATATATATATAAATATATGTGTGTATATATGTGTATATATATGTATATATATATATCTCTATATATATGTATATATACATATATATATATATATATATAAATATATGTATATATACACACACACACACATATATATATATATGTATATATACATATATATAGAGATATATATATACATATATATAGAGATATATGACAAACCATGTCTTCTCAATGTTCTTTTTGCTGTTTGGTGAGATTGCAATAGCGGATCTTGACCTGGCCGGACTGGAGCGGAGCAAAAAATAGCTCTGCTCCGTATTTTGGCGGTGAAGGACGGAAAAGATGTACGTGGACGGAGACGTGAGGAGAAGTAGCGGAGGATGTGGAACAGCTCTCATTTCAGTAAAAGTAGAATGTATGTTACAGTGAAACTAGTCCCAAACCTGCATTTTTTATCAAAAAGTTCATCAAGTAAATTCAACTAATTACTAACACTTCTGATTATCAGACATTTGGATGCATGACTTTAGTGAAACACGTCTTTAATAAATTCTCAGCGATCCTCCTTCCACCTCCAGCAAGTAGCCAATAGAGGCTGGCCTGGGCCTGCCGACGTCTCTTCTTGCTGTTTCCGTGGCAGGTTTTTCCAATGTACCTTATTCCTCATTGTGGTCAGCTGCAGTCCCTCTACACCTTTTCAGTGCTGTGTTTTCTGGCTGATTTATCCGATCTGCAACCTGCCTGATTCGATCCTTTGCTGTTGACTTCTAAAGCTAGCCTGGGAAGATGTTTCTTTATTCCCCTGAACACAGAAATAGTGTATTAAAAGCTTTTCGGTCAAACAGCTGTATGCAAAAACACATTAAACAGTAACGATGTTCATTTAGACAATTATATCGGTAATAAGGGTATAATGCTACTGTACCATAATCTTATTAAAACAATTAAAATACTTAATTAAATATCAATACATAGGGACGGATATTAATGTAGGCTGATAAAAAAATAGCACAACATGCAATGAAGAAACCAGGATTAAGCAATTCTGGCAGTTAGCCTTGTCTAAAGGCTGATTTATACCTCGAAACAAGGTCGGCTGCGTAGGTTTCGCAGTGACAAAAAGACGTTCCTGCCCTGCCATTTTTATGACTAAAATTGCAGAAAACATCTTGTGAAGTTGGACCAGCTGGAAGAGCGAGGTGTGCAAGAACGCTGGGACCCTTTTTCCACTTGGATCCCAGCTTTTTTTTGCCGTCATGTCTCTCCGTTGTTGAACTAACTCTCCCCCACTTCCTCACCGCCTCAGCTGTATCTGGACCCACAGCGTATATCGCAGACCACACTTCAATACTGGGCATTACTCAAAAATGTCTGCGTCAATCTCACTGTGACACACTGCTGCAGGAGTGTAACTAGGCCTTTAATCAGGATAGCTGCACAGAATAAATCGGTGGTAACTTACGTGTTACTGCTTCTGTGAGAGTTTAGTGAATTGAGCCTTACGTGGGACAGGATTTCCAGATGAACCCAACTTAATTCCTTATCTTGTGAAATGGGCCTTCTAAGGGCTCTCTCATTGATACCATGTTTCCCCAGTGTCATAATTCAATCATTAACACCAATCTTAACTGAAGCCTGTAATGTCTGGGTTATTCGGTAAACTCCTGAACAAAGGTGGATGTTAACTAATTAAACTTACTCAATAATTTACAGTGTTGCATTTTTTCCCTTGAGTAAATATATGAGGTAGTGCTACTCTTACTTAAAAAATATTCTACTCTTCCCTGTCATGTTCGGCTTAATTTGCCTAACCCACATGCAGAACACTCGGAGGCAGAAGAAAAAGTTCAAAAATTTTATTGAACAATAAATGTGCAACAATGGATCAGGTTCAGTAGAGGCTTGACTGGTCACGAGAGAGTTCTGTAAAGCGCACAGGTTATTCAGATCCAGGAAGTGGTTTGACTGGTCACAAGTGGGTTCACTGCAGGGGAGGACAGAGAAGTTTAGCGGAGGTCCAGGGAATATTGCAGGTTGAGAGTGTGTCAGGGCTGTACCTGTTCTTGAGTGGAGCAGAGCTGCAGAGGGGGGGAACCTTGAGGGTCCAGAGGCTGACGGCAGGCAGAGGGCAGAGGCGGAGGCAGAGCTTACTGAGTGCAGGCAGATCACTGATTGAGTTTCCGGTTATCTTCTGAGAGCGGGCAGGCAGATCTTTGACAGAAACCGTTCTCCAGAGAACTTCTGAGAACGGACAGGCAGATTACCAGCAGAGAAACTCTCCAGAGTTTCAGGTTTCAGGCAAGTTCAATCTGAGGAGCAGAGAGGAGAGAAAACAGATCAGGTTCGGATCTCAAGGGGTCAGAGTTACAGACAGGCTGGTTGGCTCAGGCTTGCTAACTGTTACTAGCAAACACTCTGGCACTGGAGTGAAGCCCTCCGCCTCCTTAAGTACGGATCTCCTGATGAGCAGATGAGGAACAGGTGGTGCAATCAGCCCCGGCTCCAGGAGATCTCGTACGCCCTCTGGTGGAGAAAGTGGACAGACCTCCAGATCCCAACATTCCCAATGTGACTACCTTCACTCAGTGAAAAAAAACTTTTTTCGAACAGAAATGCACCAGAGACACATACACCTCCTCTTTATGTTTAAATTAGTAATCTTTATTGCATCAAGCTTCTTTTTTTTTTTTTTATGTGTCCCATGCCTTGATTCTGCTGTGTCATTTATCGGCCATACAAAGAGAATACTGAATATTGTTGCTGTAGGTAACTCAACCTGTTCTAACCTCTTTAAGTACTGGTTTATGTGACTTATAGTTTGAGATATAGTGCTTCTTCCACGTGAAAGTGTTATTGTGTAATTATATTTTTATGAGAATTATCTATTGGATTCTTCTTAACACCTAAATGTTCTTATATAATTTTTGTGTATCTTTATATCAGTTTGATCGATAAGATATTTTGATCAGTCCCTCTGAATTGAGCATAATTTTTATTAACACATAAGAGTTTTTTAGATTGAGATTTTTTTTACTTGTACTTCAGTAATAATAAAGTAATAAAGTAGTCATAGTCTTACTTGAGTATAATGTCTGGCCGTTACCGCTACTGGAGCATTCATTGATGTAATGCTAGAACAATTCTGGTCAGTTGATTACTGGAAGGTGCTCAATTTGTGGATGATGGCTCTCACTTTTGGCAGGAGCAGCATTATCATTAGGCAAAACAAGGCAAAACTAGGTGGATGCCAAGCGCCTCAAGTTCCAGAGGCCCCATAAAACTTCTCATACAACTTTTTTGTCTCTGTCTTCTTTCTCTGTGTCCACTGCATTTGATTTTATTCCTTAAATTATTTCCAATAAAGTTTTATATTTTAAAGTACCAAGCGGGACGATATGGCAACAACCCCAATGGCCTGCTTGTGAAAGCAAATCTGTTGAGCTCTTAAATAGTGATGAGACATTGATTCCCAGCTGTATTTGAGAAAACAAAGGGCATGAACACACTCCCACACCCACACAAAATTATGTTTTTACAAAAAAATCCCTTTGCCAAAATGTAATCAGAACGCTTATTGTATTACACATGTCTCTGGACCGATCACACCACAACATTGGTTAGGTCGATCTTACTGAGAATGTGCAGAAAGCATCTAGGAAATTAGCAGCAAAACAAAAAACAAATGTGACCATTATGGAGAAATTGAAACACCACACAATAGGAAGAAACAATAAAAAGATGATGAAAAGAAGCTTCCCTACCAGTGCCAAAAACAGGAAACAAAATAGAAAACCTATGAGAAAAAGGGCAAAAAACAAAGATGGAGGAATACAACAAGAAAAAAGAACAGAAGAAAAAAAAAGACAGAAGGGTGACAAATACAACGACTAAGAGAAGACACAAGCAAAAGGGAGGGAGATAAAATGGAAAAGGGAGAGTAAGAGAGGGACAAAAGGTGAAACAAATAATGCATGTGTGTTCTGTTAAAACATCTGTATCTATTCACAGTAATTCACCTGTTTTGTGTGTTGTCTTCTCATGTCAGAGGGCCCAATGCCTGCCTTCACCTTGGGCCCTAAACTTCTCAAATTTGCCACTGTTTGATCGTCGGAACAGAATAACTTTGCATGTGTGCGTATGTCTTATCTTAGCACTGAAAATGTGAATGTTTGAAATGTATCTGGGACCATTCCAGACAGCAGCTGATTTGCTCTGAAAAAAGAGCAGCTGTGGAAGCATTCGCTGATTTTCTCTCTTGCTCCCCCCCACCCTCCCTAGCCCAGACGTCTATCTCTACCTGTCCTCTCCACCTCCACAGATCCAGGGCTTCTGAGGGGGGCCTTCTCAGTTTCCCTCCTGCCCAGATATTGGGAGGCGGCCTGAAAGGCCTTTCACAGGAGTATTACAGCACAGCCCGACACTCCGATAAGCCTCCTGTTACGTCCTCCCGGGACGGGGCTGGCCAGGCCCATGCTCCCCACCCAGGGGGGGGAAGGCATTTTCCTCTGGCCGCAGGGAAGAGCACCATAAAGGGTAAGATGTGGATCGCAACTCTATTGGTGTAGGCTATTAGTAACCTTAGAGTCCCTGAACTGTGACTAGGTACTTGTGCTCATTCCCACACACACACATATAGTGGGAGGAGCCATCCACAATAAAGACAGTTTATAACAACATGGAGCTTTGTGATGCCTTCAGGATGGGATTGTTTTGTTGTTAATGTATGCAGTAAGACAGCAGATTGACAAGAGGAGCTCTCCAAGCCTTGGCTTCACTTTCTCTACAGCACAGACTTGCACCCCCCCTTGCACGTTCTGCCGCTTGCTCATCAACACACCTGGAGTGAATCGAAGAATATCACACCCACTTATCAGCCTTGAGAGTATGATTCATAATGCAAAAGTGGGAAACATTTGCACAGTGCCACAGCCAAAAAAAAAAAAAGTTTGAAACATGCTGAAGCATGCAGCTAAAGTTCTTGAAAGAGAAAAAGCAAAATAAAAAAAATAAAAAAAACTGTTAATACAAAGACTGTTGTGAGTCATGTCAGAACAACCGCTTACCCATACTTATCCCTATTAGGTGCCAAAAAAAACATAAAGAAGGCATCAATCTAGGTTTGCTATTAAGACCTTGAAGCTAAACGTTTTCTTAAAGACGTGTTTCACTAAAGTCATGCATCCAAATGTTTGATAATCAGAAGTGTTAGTAACTAGTTGAATTTACTTGATGAACTTTTTGATAAAAACTGCAGGTTTGGGAGTAGTTTCACTGTAACATACTTTCTACTTTTACTTAAATGATTTTATCTTGAAGTATCACTGCTCTTATCGGGTAAAATCTTTGGTTACTTTATCCACTCTGAGTAACCTCACAAAAAAAAGGAACAAGCACATTCAAATTTTAAATTTAAGTTTTACTGACTTAAGTGTTTTCTTTAGTGCACTATTCCGCCCCCTGTGGTGCTCCTGTGCCGCTGACTACTTGATTAGACAGCTGACCCTTCACTGTTTATCAGGTAGTCTTTGATTCAGGCAATTGTTGATGTGTCCATCTGAGTCTTCTAAAGCTTCTCACAAAGTAAGTCAAGCTGAATTGTGCAAAAAACACTGGATAAATCAGAGAACATGATCCACACATTGCTGTCTGCCTTGTCTAAATTACTTTGGGTTTGTTGAAGCAGGTACACTATATTGCCAAAAGTATTTGCTCACCTGCCTTGACTCACATATGAGCTTAAGTGACATCCCGTTCCTAATCCATAGGGTTCAATATGACGTCGGTCCACCCTTTGCAGCTAGAACAGCTTCAACTCTTCTGGGAAGGCTGTCCACAAGGTTTAGGAGTGTGTTTATGGGAATTTTTGACCATTCTTCCAGAAGCGCATTTGTGAGGTCGCACACTGATGTTGGACGAGAAGGCCTGGCTCTCAGTCTCCGCTCTAATTCATCCCAAAGGTGTTCTATCGGGTTGAGGTCAGGACTCTGTGCAGGCCAGTCAAGTTCATCCACACCAGACTCTGTCATCCATGTCTTTATGGACCTTGCTTTGTGCACTGGTGCACAGTCATGTTGGAAGAGGAAGGGGCCAGCTCCAAACTGTTCCCACAAAGTTGGGAGCATGGAATTGTCCAAAATGTCTTGGTATGCTGAAGCATTCAGAGTTCCTTTCACTGGAACTAAGGGGCCAAGCCCAGCTCCTGAAAAACAACCCCACACCATAATCCCCCCTCCACCAAACTTTACACTTGGCACAATGCAGTCAGACAAGTACCGTTCTCCTGGCAACCGCCAAACCCAGACCCGTCCATCAGATTGCCAGATGGAGAAGCGCGATTCGTCACTCCAGAGAACGCGTCTCCACTGCTCTAGAGTCCAGTGGCGGCGTGCTTTACACCACCGCATCCGACGCTTTGCATTGCACTTGGTGATGTATGGCTTGGATGCAGCTGCTCGACCATGGAAACCCATTCCATGAAGCTCTCTGCGCACTGTTCTTGAGCTAATCTGAAGGCCACATGAAGTTTGGAGGTCTGTAGTGATTGACTCTGCAGAAAGTTGGCGACCTCTTCGCACTATGCGCGTCAGCATCCGCTGACCCCGCTCCGTCAGTTTACGTGGCCTACCACTTCGTGGCTGAGTTGCTGTCGTTCCCAAACACTTCCATTTTCTTATAATACAGCTGACAGTTGACTGTGGAATATTTAGGAGCGAGGAAATTTCACGACTGGATTTGTTGCACAAGTGGCATCCTATCACAGTTCCACGCTGGAATTCACTGAGCTCCTGAGAGCGACCCATTCTTTCACAAATGTTTGTAAAAACAGTCTGCATGCCTAGGTGCTTGAATTTATACACCTGTGGCCATGGAAGTGATTGGAACACCTGATTCCAATAATTTGGATGGGTGAGCAAATACTTTTGGCAATATAGTGTATATGATAGCATCATCAACTCCAACGCCACAGAGGTAAACAAACTGAAGGGGGTCTAATCTAGGCGCAGCTGGAAATGATAAAATCAGAGCTATCTGTGTTTTTACCCCTTGTTGGAAAATTCTACAGCAACACAGAAAAATGTCTGTAAATTTCCTGCATAAAAAAAAATGAAGTTGCTAGAGGTATTTTAAAAATGGCAACAATATCGGACTGTGGTCTCTAGTTTTCCAGAGAGCAGTGCATCAAAAAGTAGCCAGCTTAACTGGCAGACATGATTGAGCCAATGACGTTTTTTTTTTTTCTTTCTTTTTTGAAGCCACGCTGAAATTATTTAAAACTTGGAATGTGATCACTTTTTGGTGCCCCATGATCAATGGTAGGCAGAGGAAAGCCTAGAAGGGGTTAAACAGGGGATCCAGGTGGGACTTGGCATACTAGGACCAGATAGACACAAGATGAACACTGAATAAAAAAGGAAAGAAACAAATCAAGGACAAAATGTCAAACAGAGATGTAATGCTACGTTCACACCGGACGCAGCAGGCGCAGCAGAAGCAGCGAGTTTACATGCAAAGTCAATGGTTGACGCGCGTCAAGACGCAGCAAAAGGTCCCGCAGCGCGTTTTGAGCAGCAGGCGCAGCGCGTCTGAGCAGCTGAAGCAAATTCGTCGGGAGCGTTCAAGCATCTGACGCGTGTGACGCGCTGCAAACGCACTGCTGCTCGAGATGGAAAAATTGAACTTTTGCTGCTCGACGCGCAGCGTCAACCAATCAGAGAAGATGATTTGGGAGCTGGCCGTGAGACAGACACATCGCTGATGACACAGAGCGCTGTGATCACTCCTCTGAAACAGTTTATTGATGCATAAATTAACTTAAAATGCTGAAATCTGCAGAATATGTTCGCTTTTATTATCCTGGTGCCTGCAGTTTGGATTTTTTAGATGAAAAACACCTACCAGCCCCCGCGGTGAACCGAGAGGAGGCGACCGGGCCATAGGCTGCTGTTGAATGGGATCCTACTGACAGCACACCGCTGGTATGTGGGGTTCTGACCGGCTCCAACAGAAATAATATTGGAAGGAGGGATGGTCATCTGGATGAACTGACTGCACTGATTAAGTTTTCAGGTGGATTTTCTCACTTAAAAACATATTAAAACTACTTTATTCCCACTTATCACAGCAAATATCGCTGCAAGGCAAAGAAAGGATAGTGAAGCTCCGCCCAACGCGCGTCAAACACACTTTTGCACCGCGCAGCCAGAGCAGCAAAGCTGCTTCAGCCGCGCATCAGAACTAATTGGTACAAGCAGCAAAAAGGAAGCAGCAGATGCGATTTTGCTGCTCCTGCTGCGTCCGGTGTGAACGTAGCATTAGAGGAAAAAAATGTAATGAATCACAAGAAAAAACAAACTAAAGAAGGTAATATGACGAAACCAAAATGGCAAAAACTAACAGAAAAGATAAGACCTAGAATATCTAACATAGAAAATGCTGAAAAACACAAATCAAAACAGATTGTGGTAGATTTATTGTTTTAAAATTGAATCTGTCATAAATTATGTGCACAGGGCCCTAAAGTTCAATTATAAATGTCAATTTCACTTTTAAAAGTTGAAGCTTAACACCTTAAATAGTGATAGATTATTGTCTCAAATTTCAGCAAAAAACACAGCCTTCAATCAGATGTTACTAGTAATTAAACATAATACTTCGAGGAACATGCACATAATTAAGGTTGCTGAGCAGTTGCATCTATTAGTGCTATCTAGTCTAGAAGCAAGATTTGGCAGAAACACCCTTTAAGCTGTAGCTACCACTTTACAGTTGCATGCATTGTTGTTTTTGGACAGAGTCCAGTTGATTCCCTATCCCAAGTGTCTCCACTTGAACTGCTGTTTGTCCGACAGAGTTGTTTGCTTTCAATTATTTACCAGAGCTGTTATTTGAACCAGAACTCATGGAGAAACCTTGTATAACATTCATCTTTCCCTGAGACAAAGCGCAACTGAAAACACATTTTTCACAAATAAAAAACAAGCCTCCTTTTGAAAAGGCTTCCAAGTTGCATTCATGCGTGCATAAGGGACTGATCCATCAAGTGCATTCGCACCAGGAGCCAGCACACTGTGCTCCAAGTTTAGCTGGCGTACACTCACAAAAACATAAAAGGTCT